TTTCCACCAATTGTACAGAAAAATCGATTTATTGAATTTGAGATTTATTGTATAAATGTGGGCATTTACATATTTGTACGAAATTACAACAGGACTACCTTCATCAACATTATCAGAAGATTGTGGTATGGTCACAATATCAGTCTGTCTCAGTCTGCAGTGTATGGTGGTTTTCGACAAGATCTCGCGCGTGAACTGTGAACTGTCACGCGTGGATTGTCGCGTGTGCCGTCTTTGGGATTGTTGAGTGTTTTAAGTCGGCCATGTTTCGACATCGAAAATGATATCCTGGGTACCAGAGATCTGATTTGCAGTGACCCTCAGGTTCATTGAATCTATTATTAACGTTTGTTATTATTTGGGTAATTTCTATCATTTGTTTTGGAACTTTAGTAGATATTCAGGTAAAGAGAGAATAAAGAGAGAATAAAATTTACTAGAAGCAAGCAACATTCATATTCTCAGACCTTTGGTTAAAGTCTCCATTATCAATTTTTTTTTTTAAAAGCAAAGGCCCGGGAGGCGATCGCAATTTTGCAACCAGGGCCAGACCGCGCCTGCAAGCAAGGGTCTAAGGGTTACCATGTCTCTGCATCTTCCACCAAGATAGAATGTCAATATTTGATATCAAACTTTTTCCCGAGGGTCCTCTCCATATAATTACACAAGAATTTGCACTTATCAATAAGGCAAATGGTTACTTTTGTTGTCTATTGTAATTCAGTATCTACATAGCTTAGAATTTATACACTAAATGCAAAGTCGACTGATCTAAAATTCATGAACCTAAATGTACATAAAAATGTACCTTTGAGTGAGAATGAAACTTAGACAGAAACATTCTGGGTCATTCAGTTGCATTATCAAAGATAACAATTTACAGAGGTTTTTGGGGCTCAGCCCGTCTCAAGCAACCTTATGCTTGGATTTGCAAATCCTTAACTTTCCGAGATAATTTTTTAAACCGTTTTTTCTATTATTTTATTACAAAACCGTTTTTTCTATTATGAAGTAAAAAAAACTGTTTATATACTGATTGATATAATTTGACCTATTTCCGAACTTATTGTCGTATATTTCTATTATTTGTCTATCATTTGCATTATTTCAGTGAATCATTTTTTGCATCATTACAGTGTCTCATTTTCGTACCATGGGTTCCATAACCTCGATGAAAGACTGGGTGGGTGAAAGAGTGGATCGGTGAAATAGTTGATAGACCACCGTTCGACCATCTCTATAACAAAATGAAATGAATATCAGTACAGTCGTGGGCCTAACATGTATCCCTGCCTTACACCTGCCTTGCATCTACAAGTATCTGAACTGATCACCCTTCAGCATTTTGCGCATTTTCAAAATAACTATGTCAAAGTCCTTCTGTAAAACACATGGTATAAAGTTTTGGGCGCTTACATTTATATTTCAAATACACGCTCATAATACAGAAAGACTGTGTCTGCAGTAGCGTGCTGGGGAAAAGATCGCAGGGGGGGGCAAAGAGGCAAAATGGCGCACCTTCAGAGTTTCAGAAATATGCAGTAAAGTACAAGAGTTCGGACGGAAGCACGCCTATCTATATCTATTTATCTGTGGCCGTACCGAAAGACCTTTAAATGAAGGGGAGAAAGGGTAGTCAATCACTGACAGGACGTGAAAGAGAACTTTCAAAAAAAGACCTTAGTATTGTTCGGCTCTTTTGTGTAAGTGTTCCTCGCTTGCTAGCTGTTTTGGCAAGGGCGCCTTCGGCGCGCCTTTAAAGTGAAAATTCATTTTGGCTGCCTCTTGCCCCCTTGCCCCCTTGCCCCCTTGCTCCCTTGCCCCCTCGCCCCTGCCAGCACGCCACTGTTTGTTTGCAAGTGTTTCCAGTTTCTCATCTCTTTTCAGATCTTTCTTTTAAGTTATCTTCATGACATTTCTTTAGTCACTTAATCATATCAGTCGATTATTCATAATGCCTCCTGTATTTATTTGTCCAAAGTTGTGTTTCTCTTCAAATGAAAGTATTCGTTTTTCATTTCATTTTAAATTCTTTATACACAAAAATCCCTTCAGCTTACAACTAAATACCAAATAAGAAAATAAATATCCTAGTTACATTAATATAATTTATATATAGTTAGAGCTAAATTATGCACAGTATATGCTAAATTATGCACAGCAGCTGCTATAAGTACTTTAGAGTATTTTATAGCAGCTGCTCGTCCAGGGAATCGTGTTTTATGTTGTGTTCAGCTCATAAAATAACTTTTCAATTGCTTTTTGAATTTACTAAGTGTAGAGAGCTCTCCCATATTGATGGGAATATCGTTCCAGGCTTTCAGAGCCGAACAGTGAAAGCCTCTCTTGACGTATTCAAGGTTATTTCTTGGGATTTGTAGGTCTCGGCAATTCTTTGTTCGGTAGTTGGAGTGCTGGGTCCTATGATGATATTTATCCCAAAGGCTTTCGGGATATTGTCTGCTGATTATTTTGTATGTCATAACTGATCCATCGAACTTTGTAAGATGCTCAACGGTTAGCCAGTAATGAGACCAGTTGTCTTTTAGTCTGGCCTTATCAATAAGTGCACGGTACACATGTTCGAGCTGGGATTGTGAAATAAGATTTTTCAGTTTTTTAGCGAATCCAGACCGCCGTTAATCTTCTCTTTCACTTTGCTAAATTGTTCATCTCAGTTTAGCCCTTCGTCCACCAATGCCTTTGGATGGATAATTTGATTGACAAAATTTAGACACTGAATATAAAGAGCAACAGTCACGAAATTATTTGTTTAAGATAAAAGCAGTTGTAAAAGTTGCTTTGTATGGAGCTTTATTGTTTTGATTCTATATGTTATGCAGGAAACTAAGCATCAAAAAAAACTCCGTAGAGTCACAGGCAATATTCTCACATGATTTCTCTCGGTTTCTCTAATCAAATGATACATCTTACGTTTTTGCGCTGCATTACTCTAAAGTAAATCGCTCGCTGTATCGTAAATAGAATCTCATTCGCGGGCCAAAAGCCTCATGGGATTAGAATTAATGGGCTAATACCTTGGGGCTCTATTACTGGGCGGCAAACCGCAGTATCAAAATAAGATTTCGCTCGGGTAGTTTGCCGCAGCCATAATCCATTTGTATTTCGTAGGACCCATCCTTCACCCAAAATTAGTTGGATAAACTACATTACCACAGGGCCATCAGTGTTTGGGGGGAGACAACGGGGACCAGGGCCTTCAAATGATTTTGAAAGATATGGTAATGCTAAAAGCTATTCTAAAACATCACACCGAAAAGGTCATTTTGCCCACGCCCTTTAATAAAAACAGGTAAGCTCCACCCCTGTTAAGTAGTTTCAGGACCTTGAGTGGGGGCCTTTTTATGTCTAAATTTCAGAGGCTAATACCAATACTTTTCTACTACCAGCCACCCCTGGTCCACCATAACCCCTAATGATTTAATCTTCGCAACTCGCTTTATTTCTGAATCATTAAGGTGCAGTGGTTTTGAGATTTCAACTTTATTTGTCCTCCGTGGATGGCCAATAATCATGTATTCAGTTTTTTCGAGTTTACGCTTAGTTTGTTCATCCGCATCAATTCCGAGATTTTTTCTAAATTCTTTGTGGGCATTTGTAAGTAGATCTTCAATGTTACTAGATGTTAATGTAACATGTGTGTCATCTGCAAACATGCTAGCCTTACAGAATTCTCAGCACTTTTCAAAGTCATTTATGATAAACAGGAGTGGTCCAAAGCATGATCCTTGAGGTATACCACATGCTACCAATCTAGCCCCCGACTGTTGTCCATTAACTGAGCAGAATTGTTTTCTATTACTTAAGAAGGATGTAAACCATGCTCCCGAAATTCCCCTCATACCGAGTGCATTTAACTTTTTCATCAGTATTGCATGATCTATGGTATCAAATGCCTTTTTCAAATCCAGAAATATGGCCAAGTTGAGCTGTTTTTTGTCCATGTTCTCATACCAAAAGCCAGTGCCATTTATCAAGGATGTTATAGTAGAATACAGTTTTCGAAAAGCAGATTGATTTGGGGTCAATACTTTGTTCGCTATGAGATATTTAGCAAGCTGATCGTGAACTAGTCTTTCCAACAGCCGAGAGAAAACTGAGATGACAAAGATAGGTTTATAATTATTTCCATCCCTTTTTAAGCCTGATTTAAAAATCGGTTTGACTTTTGCTAATTTTCAGATATCTGGGAAAGCATCATACTTTAATGATGAGTTGAAAATCATGTTTAGTGGTTTCCAAATTAAGTCTGTGGCATCTTTAATAAGCGTAGTGGAGATCTAAAGTATACTTCAGCTGTTGCTTTTGTGGGTGTCGTCCCTCAACCACACCCCATCCGTGCGGCTCTTGCTATTTCTATCAATTCTTTGATTTAAAGTTAGCAGTTGAAAACATTTTCAAGATTTTTGAACAGAATTGACAAGGATTTCTGGATTTCTTGGAATTTTCTAAAGATTTCCAGGGGCTGTTAATGGCTTGAGAGCCACCCTGCAATTTCGATACCAAACCTCCGCTGCTTGTTTGACATTGTTCTTGGCTATACCGCAGGTAACTTTTTTTCCCTTACTCATTTTTTCCAACATATCTACACTCGCGTCTACACTTTTTTATAAGAACACTTGGCTCCATTTTCAGCCTTACTTTTTCGCATAAATTGAGCTTAACGTGTTTCTTATTTTGTTTCCTTTTTTGGTAATAGAATTTTCTGTGCATAGTAGTGTCAAGACATGAAATGTGCTTAATAAAGTAATGAATGCTATTTGCTTATCGCTTTCTGTTTCTATCTTCCTATTCTTTCATTTTTCAATTTTTGCTGGTATTTTATTTCTTGAGTCTTGTTGAATTTCAGCCTGCCTTGTTTCTTATGTTGTTCTTATTTTTTTGTAAATCTCGGCCGACATTGGCTTTTTCATCCAAGGATGACCATCTTGTGACTAACAGGGTGACCAACAGGTGACCACAGGATGCCCAGATAAAATTCAATTCAATGTTTTCAGATTTTGCGCGGGAAGAAGCGAATGGCGGATTCAGAAGTCTTCAAAACACCATCACGACCTTTGAAAAGGCCATGTTTGGGTAAAGATAAAAGACCAACCGAGACAGAGTATTCACCGATTACAATCCCACCATCACCAATGATGAAGAAACTTGGATGTGGCACTGGCGTCATTGTCTATAAGCTAGATCGTGGCTCGTTTTCACCCAGTTTAGGCACGACAAGAAGATCACCTTGGGCTATCAAGAAAGCCAAAAGGATGCGTCAAGAAGCACTTGAAAGACTTAAACGAGAAAGTGAAATCTTGAAAATGCTGAATCACCCAAATATTATCAGTTACAGGTTGGCAAAGTTTTTTTGTTTATGGCTTTTGATTTGATATTCATATCAGGCCCGTCGGAACCGGGGGCGCTGGAGCCCCCCTATAATTGCCAAACTGTAGTATGTTTCCTTTATATCAGTGTACTGAATGAGAAGGAGAACAATGGGCAGCCCCCCCCCAATATGAATTTCGTTCCGACGGCACTGATATTAATAAAACCTTTATAACAGTTGAACAATTTTGTACGGAGTGGAGGTAGGAGCTCAGTCATTCTCTGTTTCGGGCAATTTTTTATCTTCGTATTTGCTAAAAATGGATCACAGAATCGGCATCTTCATGTTCAAATAAGTCTACGTCGAAATTTCAAGATGAAGATTTTAAGCCTGAAGTTCAATTTTGGGAAGGGTCTGTAGATAGCGAGATGCAGAATCAATGATATCAACCCGGAACGGTGAATTGATGATAACTGCAACTCGAGCAAAACAAATTTCCTTTGCAGCGCCAACAAGTCAAGAAACAGCCAACATATATGTATGTTAGAATTGTCATGTGTTAAATGTTTGGTTCAATTAAAACAGATCTGTGTGTTCTGACAGTATAATTCTGCAACATGTGTAATCTCAAGGACAACAATACTTGCCATTTTTTATGCTACCTTAAATTTATTTGCTTACTTCTGCAGACAGTTTACACTGATGGAAAATGGTGATGGTTGTCTTTCAATGGAGCAAGGAGGAATATCTCTTGATACACTGATTGAAAGATATGGTGAAGAAGACATGGCCTTTACAGCAAAGGAAGTTGCAAGTGTTTCACTTTTTGTGGCAAGAGCATTGTCCTATTTGCATGACACACACAAGCTGCTTCATGGGGATGTGAAAAGTGGAAATGTTCTTATCACAGGTACGTATCCCTCCAAATAGTTTATCAGTGCTTTGCTTTATGTACAATAGAAATTTAACTTTAAATCAAATGCTTTTGCACTTGGGGACTATACAAATGTATGATTGGGTTGTCTTTTGAGGGTCATTGCTATGATGGGGCATAGGGAGGGGATGATTCCCACCTGGAATAAGATTTCATTGAAAAAATAAGGAGTTTTTCGCTATGGTAGGGTAGCCTTACTGGCAAATCTTCAGACTTGTTGGCAGATAAAGGTTCTCAGCATTTTTTGTCATTTTTGTCTGAAAATAGGATCTGAGCAGTTTCTATCAAGCAAACTTGTTATGTGCAATTTCTTGGTGTTTTTCTCGAAAAAATCTTTCATTGAAATATTGAATAACAGGATTAGCTAGGTTTTGTGATTTATTTTTCAAAGTGAGACTCAAGCTACTAACAATACTAACAATGATACTTTCTAGCTCAAAAAAACAACTGTGCAATCTGGTAGATCAGTTTATTAATTTGAAGCTAAATGCTGGAATGACATTCCCATGGGTATAATAAGTTACCCATGCTATTTGCTTTCATCATTAACATAAATCTTTCCTCTTTGAAAGTAATTACCAAGATTGACCTTAGAAAAGTAGACACTCAATCTGCCCTGGCCATAATCACATTTAAAGTAGTGAACTTTATTTTTAATATTATAAAATAAAGAGGGAGCTCTCTCATAGATATATTTGACCACAGAAGGAGCCCCACCTTTAAGGTATTCCCTCCATAAAATTTATCTAATTCTTTATGCTAGCTTGGTGTTAATTTTGCTTACTGATGAATTGTTTTTCTGTAATAATGTAATATTTCTGTAATAATGTAATATTTTTATAATAATGTAATATTTTTGTAATATCCTCTAGTTCTTCCAACAAATTTATGAAGTGGTATTTAAAAGGCATATGTCACATTTGCAGTTGGCTAATACAACAAAAGCATATGGAGTGGAATTCCATTGTTTTGTGACTTTTCATTACTGCTTCATGAATTTTTGCTGCCATGAAAATTCAACCTTGATCCTGTACTAAACAAAACAAATAATTGTATTGCATTGGCCAATTAGTCTCACAACACATGCCCTTTAAAATTTGAGACTTTAACTGAACACCCCCTCTCCTTGAACACAATAGCTAGCAATTGCTCTGGGGGAACTTTTCATATTACGACCGTATTCATATATTTCAATTTGTTCTCCATGAATGTAATTCTGTTAACATCACAGCAACTTTTGTATGACTCTCTGCTCATTAGAATTAATCTTAGAAGCAATTATTGACATTGTTTACATTGCCTATACATCATTTTATTTAATACATTGAGAGTACCTAATAATTTACAGATGATTTCAAGCATGTGAAGCTTTGTGACTTTGGTGTTGCACTTAAGATGAAAGAGGACCTGTCTGGCCCACTGGATCCAAGTGAGTTTTACACTGGAACACAACCCTGGTGCAGTAAAGAGGTTTTGGAAGATGGCCCAATCACAGATAAAGCTGATATCTTTGCATATGGCCTTCTTATCTGGGAAATGCTGGCACTGGATATCCCTCATGTCAAGTTAATGACAGGTAATTGTCTTCTTTTTATGCTTTCCAGCCCTGGCCGTTTGAGGCAGGCGGTCGCCCGCGCACGCCTCCACGCTCGCCTCGGGTAAGCGTCGCACGTTAACTTGCCGCCTTGGTCTTCCTTTCATTTCTTGACACCTTTTGAAGTAAAACTAAAATATTGATAGGAACTTGATCCCATGTTTTGAATTAGAAATAACGTTTTAATCTCTCAGGAAGTCTTCACGCGAAAAACAAACAAAGCATAAGGGAAGAAAATCCTTTGAATGGTTTCATTTTAACCAGAATGTAATTTCGAAGGCCAATTTAGTATTCCTAACACGTGAAACCCGAATCATTTCAACATGGCGAGTAACCAGAAAGGATCGACTGTTGAGCTAAGAACTTTTAAAAAATACGACAACGGGGCTGTTCTTGGAAGAAAAATTGAGGAGATAGATGGAATAGAGATGGTGACATTCGTTTGGTGCAAACTTTGCGCTAAACATAAAGCTTCTTATTTTCTTAAATCCGCTTTACAAAGGGAGTGCAAAGGCGGCTGTTGAAGCCTACATCAATGGAGCAAATTTTGAATGTTGTTGTTTTGCGATTATACAAAACTATCATTTTATTTTTGTCAGAGATCTTAGCTGTCAACTTAGCTGATAAAGAATGTTGTTTATTCGTACACTTTTATTGACGACTTTCAAGAGACTAAAAATCGGCCGCCTGGCTTTACCGAGGAGAGCGATGCGCGCCTGCTAAAATGCTCGCGGCCAGGCCTGCTTTTTTGTTGACATTAAAGAGAATGGGTTTTTTAAAGCATTTAGTATTTTTGTGGCTAAATAAATAAAATAGATTAATCCTTTCAAACAGATGGCGATGATGAAGAAAATTCAGATGATCCAGACAGATCTTTTGTAAGTGATAGTCACAATGAAGATGCATACACCGAAGCTCTAGGCACAAGACCTGCATTGCCAAACAGAAATTTTGACTCAGATTACCTTCCTATGATTGGCCTTTTTGCATGCTGTACCGAGGCTGATTACAAAAAGAGACCATGTGCAACACAGTGTGCCAAAGCAATTGAGCCTTTAGCAAAAGAACTCAACGTGATCAGTTGCAGTATAGTTGATGGTGAACTTATAGACAATAGCTACAAAAAGACTCTATAAATTGAACTTGTTTCTGATTATTATTTAAATAATCTAAAAATACAAACTACCTTATATTCATGTAAATATTGTTTGAAAATCATCTGGCAGAGCATCTCTAGAGCTAAAGAGTAACACAGGGCTGCATAAGTGGGCCAGCCTTCAGGAAAGGCCCATTGCTACAGGGGGTTTGTGGGATGTGACACCCCATTGAAATAAGTATATTTGTGTAAACAAGGAGATTTTTGCCATCTAGGGATGCTTAGTAGGCAAATCTCCAAACTTGTTGACAAACAAAGGATGACTCACCCACCTTGAGACTTGGATGGCAAATAAGACTACAGAGCCCTTAGGAAACCCCCCTTTAGAACAATAGCTAGTGACACACCTGCTTCAGGAGCATATTCATAAAAATAAAGGATTTCCCACATTGAGCAAGGTATTTCTTCAATTTTACATGACGTCACACCTAAGAAATCTATCGCTATTCTTAGCTTGTAGTTGGTAGTTTGTTAAAAATTATATCACAGAATGAAGCAGAAAATGTTTATTTTGTAAAAAATTAATATTCATTTTCTCGTATTTAAACATTTCACATGAATACCATCATGGCTGGACGTAGTGTGTGACCATTTCCAAGTGTTGATTGATTTTTTAAGCACGTTCACATTCCTGAAATTCCACTGCTTACAATATACTTATTAAAATTGCTTGAAAATAGATAAAAATTGATAAAAAAGAATACATTTATATAAAGAATACTAAAAGCAACATTCGAGTTTACCGTAAATTATCTTTTTAGCCCGCGGGGGCTAATTATTTTTCAGCACTTTAAAGGGGGGCTTATAAGAGAAGAGGGTTAAATTGAGAGAGAGAGGGCTTAATAAATATTTTGTAACAAAAAACCTTTTATAGTGGTAAACTAATTTTTTGTTATTGGTGAAATAAAAACGTCAATTATTAATTCTAAAATATCTTCTTGGGCCATGTCGCCTTTCCGAAATCGAGCATTCGAAAAAAGTCGGCTTTATCCTTCAGAGTACCAACGGCCTTAATTTTGGGAAAAGGCTCTCGCATGTCCCGTGCTTAATGCACATCAAATCTTTGGCTTCGGACCTGTCGTGACTAGAAGAGACATGGTGTGAATTTTGATTTGATGTAACTCTCTGTTTTTGTCAAGTTTACTGCTGAAGCATCAGCATCAAACTGGGGAGGGAGACTAAATTGAGATGGGGGGACTAATTAAATATTTCATTCTGAAAAGGGAGGCTAATAAGTGAGGGGAGCTTTATTGAGAGGGGGGCTAAAAGAGAATTTACGGTATATAACAAAAAGAAATGATGGAAACCTAATTACATATAAAATAACTTCTTCAAGGAGATATTCTCTCAGTTGGTTAAGTAACCGAAAAAGATCACACTTGTCGCAAGGTATCATTTTGCAGCACCTTAATTTCAACAGTAGTCAAATTGATTGTTGATATTGAAATCCACTTTGTATTTGTGTAGGATGGACGTAACTCAAGTTTACAGTAAAAGGTAATAATCAAATAGTGTTTTTCAGAAGAGATGGCTTGATTAACGGAGCCAATTTGTTCTAAAGGCCTGCATACTGAGAAGATTTCAAACAATGATGCAAGGTGTACTTTTGAGTCATAAAGTATCACCATTAAAGCTTGCCATAAATCAGACTGTATAACTGATGTAAAAGTTTTGAAATAATTTGAAAAAAGGAAGCGAGAGATCATTTTGGTTATTCATAAACAAACAAAAAAGACAGGGACAAAGCAAAAGGACAAGTAACAAATTAATTTCTCATATTTGGATAACAATTTGGATAAAGCTTAATTTCAATGCTCGGTTCAGAGCCCAATTGTTTAGGTGATTTGGAACCTGTTTACATCAAAACTTGTGTAGGAAGACTTCGTTTTTTCACTTGGACTTTCCAACTAGGTGAGGGGTTAGCGGTCGCTGATTGGTTGAAAATAAGAAGCTTACCCCATGCACCATTCTTTCTCTCACGCTCTGCAGCTAGATAACATTCTTGATTAGCTTTGGGTTCTGTATTATATTTGATACTTGTACAATTCGTTATGTTTTTGCATTTACGTGCCACCTTCAAACTATTGAAATACTATACGCAAATACTAGTATGTGCTTAAGCCTGATTTCTCGATCCAAGAATTTAAAATGACGAGAAATGAACTGACTTGCTCGCTCGTGCGCAGCCTGAACGGCCCCAGAAGATTGTTTCTTTTGAAGTTCTTGACGATTCCAATCTTTAAACCCCAGATCAGAATGCTATCTTGCCAGCGGGGACTAGTTTTCCTATTTCAGCCGGGACTGTCATAAGACCTTGATATACAAAGGCAAAACTGTTGGTGGCTTTCCTTCGCTTCTCTGCAGGAAACACATGTCGGCTATCACACGGTGGTTGTAGATGCCTTTCTGTTATCTGTTTTCTGCTTCACGATATCCTTAAACATTGCGAAGATTGCACTTCTGCCGTTAGGGTACATTTTCAGGTCAACATTCAAATGTAGGACAGTATGTTCCCATTCATCAATGCGTTTCAAAAAAGCAGCCATGGTACCAAAAATGAAGATGTTTCCAACAACAACAGTGCCAACGGCTCCCCATTGAATCTAAAATTGGGATTAAGATACAATTATTCATCAACGAAAAAACATTATATCGCAGATGCAAAACATTGAAATCCTAAATTGACAAAAACTGCAAAGAAATTTACAGTTACCTTCGTTTAAAGAAAGTCTTCTAAGGGTCATAATGAATTACGGAGACACCAAGATGCATTCCGAAACTGTCTTTTGGTAAAAGCTCTGTGAAAAATTAATCTATTTCATGTGATTGTCTTTGCCACATTAATGATTAACTTTTACTTAAGACCCCTTGAGGTAGAGAATGTTTTATGCACTATGTCGAGAAGATCCTCTTCCTTTTTCAAACAAAAAGCTGATTTGTTTCGTGTGTATACGTGTGTCTCGTATGTCAAAAGACAGAAGGTTGGATATCGATCTTCGTGGATCCTTCATTGAAAAATTATCCCTTAACGATTTAATGGAGAACCTCTGTAGCTATATTATGAGTTCAAAAACCTTTGATTTCTTGTACTACATCGTTCGAAGGAATTTGTCACTGTGGATGGTTTTGGTTGGTCTTTACTTTAGAATGTTTATATCGCTGGACAACATAAGAAGAAGCTGGACTGCCAAACAATAACGCGAAAAACAACAATCCAAGATCTTGACTTGCTCATCTTGTCTTATGTTGTTCCTCGTTTCCGCTATGGTTGGTTTTAGCAGTGCCCTGGTGTCACGTTGGTTGTGTACTCAAACAAGATATTTGCAACAACAGAGTCATTGCTGCCTAATACCAGAAGCGGATGATTAACAAAGAAAGTAGCCTTTGAAAAAACGATATCAAAAGTCAGTTATGCTTCCATGATAGCAAAAAAGATAAAAATTTACATGTTTTATAAAAAAGAAAGCGAATTATTTAACAACAAATGTTTCAGGTATCTTTGTTTGCTATTGAACGTTTAGAGAACAGTCTAAAAAAGTTTAAAGTTAAGGGCTATCGAACTCAGAACCAGGCCGAATCATGATACAAATTGCGCACTTCTAAATGTAAGGACGGTTTAGTGGTTAGGGTCAAAGACTACCAGATTTCAGATTTTCTTGAAATGGAAGTCGGGAGTTCCTCCACTTGACATTGTTAGATTTTTATACTCATCTTAGAGGAAGACAAAATGTTGAAAAACAAGATACTCACCACTTGTGCTCTAGCCATTATAACTGGAAAGGCTTTGGGAAAAGTTCAAGTGCAAAATTAGACTATGAATAAAATTTTGCAAATATTTAATAACTAAGTTCTCTGATTGTAGACACTCTTTGATAAATCTTAAACACACATTTGTTTAGATATTTTTCTGCAAAATCTTAAATCTAGCTCAAAATCAGGAGTTTCTCCTTTAATATAACACAACAGGCTTCAAGTCTGAATCTCACATGTCTTATTCAATGAACCAGAACAAATCAAAATTGCGCAGAATGGAATCAAATGTAATGATACAAAGTGACAGAGTTTCAGTTAAAGTATGGCCTAATAATAAAATGCAGCAAACCAGACTTCACTGACAAATATATGACATGATATTTGCAAATCACACTTATCAGTTTAACAAAGAAGTAATTTGCTTTATTATAAATTTCATTACTTACCAAATGAAGAAATTATCATCCCTGATGTGAAAAACAAAAGGCAATGCACAACAAAACTAAAAAAAATAAAAGCTTTTGATGAAGTGATGTAATTAAACTTCAAAAGGAAACCAGGTGAAGATGCATTCCCCAAACTTTAAAGAAATAACACTTTTATAGCAACTGAGCAACATGACCCTGAATCTGATTTCGACATTATGATGAAACCTCTTTAAAAGACAGCAGCTTGACTGATTCTGATAATTTTGGAAACTGTTTGCAAAATTCAGTATGGTATTATGATTTTTCACATTGCTAATGTTTTGCAGAAAAATAATTTCAAGCATTAGGGTATTAGTCTTTTACTTTCGGTTGTAGCAAAAAGTGATTTCTTTTGTACACAAGATGGATGGTTGTATGATGTATGATGAGTATTTAACAGTGCCATATTTTGCACTTATGTTGTTATTAAAGCCTCCTTCCTGGAACAGCTTTTTTTTACCTTTTTACCTAATTATAATTTAAATATAAATTTAATTTAATTTAAATTTAAATTTTTTAGCAAACTGATTTTTAAACTTGAAAATCTTCTACTTTTAAAGTGGAATAAAAAACAACATACTCTGCTTCCAATATGGCATGCTTGTGCTGGTTCACCCAACCGGCAAAACTGAATTAACAAATAAAACATCTTTATTTAGGCATTTCAAACTTCATTTAGATATAATTGACTACATTAAAGAAGAGAAAAATAAATTTCTTTGCTTCTAATTCTGAGAAAAAAGGATGGTGAGCTTTCTTACTTGAAATGTTGTAGCAACGAATTTCATGAATTTGTCTTTTGAATATTAAAAAATATCAATAAAACATAAGAAAATTTTCTCAAATACTTCTCTGTCACTCAGTTTGATGAAGTAAAAGCGTTGTAAAAGAAGGAAGTAAATGCAATTGAAATGGCTTTGAAAACTCTAAACTGAAAATTAAGAAGTAAGTCACAAAAATTGGGGAGTCCATACTTTTCGTCTTTGGTAACAGCAGACAGGATCATTTTCAGACGTTGCAAAATAATGACAGGCACAGGAACAAGGATATAGAACAGAACTGCAAAAAATTGTCACTTTTTAAAAAATTGTCACTTTTTAAAAAATTGGAAATAAATTTTGTTCACAATCTTTGAGAAAATGGTTTATTCTCAAATTTCTGTAGCCACTCAAAAAATATATAAAAAATATTAGAATAGAAAGATTGGGAATAACTTTACTTACCAATAAAAAGAATCCAACATGAGCTAGAGGAGAGAATGAAATAGATTACCAAAAGTTATGGACAAAGAAATTAAATTAAGAAATTAAAAATTGACAAAGAAAAGTTTTCAGTAAGATTAAAAGAACATTTCTAAGAGAAGAAGGACTATGTCATCTAAAATCGAATAGCAATTATTTTTCTGGGTAACTTTTTGGTACCTATTTTATTCAACTGTTTAATATCTTACAAGAATAAACTTTTCTGAAATTATTTTTTATATTGTTTCAGGCCTCTCAGCATGTGACTGCCTGCCCACCCCTAGACACGCACCTAGGCAAGACAAGGTGCACAATTTGTCATGCACCTGCTTCTCAAAAAGTAGCTATATTGTGCATCTCGGCACAGGATATTAACCTTTTCAACAGAAGCTTTGTCTTATTGCTATGGTGATCTATCGTGGGTGTCTATAACACTTGGAAGAAAAAAGCTATATAATATGTGGGGGGGGGGGGCGGAGCAAATAGCTCAACATCGCACAAAAAAGCTGTAACCTCAATAGTACTGATATTACCCTACAGAATCTTGCTTTGGGATGTGCAATCAGCAGCCCACCTGCTAAAATCTTTACCAAGAGGCCTGTCATTTGATACACTCTTTCTTTATAAGAACCAAAAACTGTTGCCCAGTTTTCAATTGAGGCCCTGGTATTCTTAAATATTGTTCATAATTCCGCATTGAGTTTTCTACATCTACATACTATCAGTTGTTTCTAGGACCACTTCATAACAGTTTCGCATGACATATTTATTGAAATGGTTGACTTGCTGATAAAATCAAATCTGTTTTGTGAATATCAGATAAAATTTTCAAAAGCCCTTGTTTTTCTTGCAATTTTTCATCTGGGGCTGGGAATTTTCATACAGTGTTCGTTTTTGAGGAAATGGAGCGTTGTTGTGTAGATAAAATTTGCCTTATTAAAATAAGTGCATAATTTTACTTAATGGTAGGTGTTACTCTTGACCAAAATAAACTTATTCTACAAGGGTTATATCATTTGTCAATGTCTTGTTAACATTAAGGTAACATGTTTTATTAGAAAAACTTTATCAACTCAAGAAAAACGAATCAAGAAAGATTTTACCCTTTAGCAGTCTGGAACCCACTGTAAGCACAAGAAAGTACCAGCATCAAAATGCCAATTGTTGCTGTCAGTGACATGCAAAGAATGCTACAAACAGTTTGAGAAAACAAATAAGAAATCCAAATATGGAGAAACAATGCTTCTCAATCAATGTCAAGAAGATATGAACTGCTTTGGGTCATGAACAAGCAATTTTCTGAGCCAGTTCAGCTGGAACCTATCAACAATTTTAAATTTTGGACAAACAATTCTAATAATTGATTTCATGTGTTTTGTGCATATTATGTGCAAAAAGTAATTTGTCTCAGGTTAGTTAGTTAGTAACTTTTTAGGAGATAAAATATAATTTCGTATACAGGCCTAGTAAGCGGTGAGTGGTGACCAAAAGCATTAACCAGGGATAAGGGGGTTCACCGCTAACTGGGACAAAAATTATTTGTCGATAAACACTTATATACAGAAAATGTATGGGTATGTTTTACAGGTTTTTATACAATATCATACAAGATAACACAAAATAATTCAAGTTTTCCAACCTGGGTTTCTAGGGGCGAGTTAAGAAATTTCGAATTCCGGGGTCCTATTTGTCACAGGGCCTAAACTAAAGTCTGTTGGGGGTCCTATTTGTCACAGGGCCTACATTTTGACTGGTTGAACTAAAACTGATCATCAATTGTTTTAATCGATAATTTGCTTCTCTCTGTCCACATAAATCCTCGCAATATTTCGGTTATTACAGCATAAACACGATCAACTTGGGCAGCCGGCCTAAGTTATTAGCGCTTGCTTTTCACAATAGTCCCGTAAAAAGAAACAATAGCTAAACATGCTCTCGCAGATGTAAATATGAGAAACAAATTTGCAACTAAAATTGTGGCCAATACTCACGCTGAAACGATCCCCATTTTCTGGATTTTCAAGACTCGCAAGCAGCTATTCGCTTTCCTTCGTCGATAAAGAAGCCTGAATTCTAAGACTTGCAACGGAAAGCGGATTAAATTACAACCGTGCTTAACATTAAGAACTCGGTTCGCCAATTCTGTGTCGCACTTTAGGGCAATAAAATGCCATTCTCAAATGCCTGTTGACTTCCTTTGTACCTCAACAATACCGAAGCGATCGTAAATATTGAATAAACCGAAGTTTATTAATTGATTTCCTTGCTCTGTTTTGTCTTTTTCCTGTTTTGGATTTGGCGCCAATTGCGATACAACGTTCAGCAGGCATCGTAATTACTCCGCAGAAGAACGAATGCGCGATCCCCCTGGCAAAATTGCACCCACTGCCTCAAAATTAAAATTATCCCTTTTTAGGAAGGAAGCCCACTATCAGAAAATATTTATCTTTGTTTGCCCCACAAAGTCAAGAATTGATTGGTCGAAACTTCATTTTCAAACGACCGGGTCCATTATTTGGTGGATCCCTAACTTATGGTACTTGCTTGTGTGTATTGTGAATCGTTTGGCCAATAACTTGTGAAAAAATTATATATTTTGCTGAAATGAACCAAACTATTCGATAACGTACCTGCTACAAGGAGCTTGGTTGAGGGCATTGCTTTTTACATAGTCAATAGAAAAAACTCTGGTCTGGAAGCCCATTGTTCTGTTCTTTTGTTCTTATCTAGAACTTGAAAGCACTTTTATTTTAATCACGTGACCTAAGTAAGGGGACAAGATAAAACATTTTCTTCTCTCGCAATAGCAGACGCAGACAGTTTCGTGAAGCCCAGCGCACACAGGCGACCTATAAATGTCAAAAACAATGATATTTGGGCTTTTGACAAAGTTGCTTATTGCACGAGTCAGATTAAACGATTTTCTGCGTTCAAATTCTGTCTTTGCGAATACTTACTTTCAAGAAACATTTCTCAAACCCTAAAACAGATGATAGCTGGTTAAATGTGAATGCAAAAAAGTTGACTCTGATTAATCTATTGCTTTTTCATCTATCAATTTTTCAACTAATACTAATGTTTCTTCGTTGAATACTTTTGTTCTGTCCAAACAGAGACCGAGATACATCTTTTTGTTTATTTTTTTGGCATAGGGGGAGGGGGTTTTGAAGCCCTGATTAATAAGTGTAGCAACAGGCAAATTTTAGAAAATAAAAGTATTCTACTTATGCTATTAAGTTTTTTGGGGTGCAAGGCTCTCTGGCCCCTCGTTATCTCGGTCCTTGGTCCAAGATGATGATGGTGAGGGCGCCCTGTTGTATGTCCTTTGTGTATTCCTCTAAAAATTCTTTCACAAGTATTTTGGCTCTTCAAGCTTCAACCATATCTGTATCAGCAACGTACTCGACTTCATCAATGTTCCACAAAGGCTTGTATTTTTGTTTCAAAACTCTTATCAGGTCTAGATAGGACATTTAAGATTGCAATACTTGAGTCCTCACTTCGCTTGAACATGTGTTTTTTTGAGAAACATAGTATTGACACTTTCTTAACTTTTTTAATTGGTAATGGTTCTCGCCAGGCGCGTAGCGGATGTTCGACGTTAAGGGGGCTAAGCATGGATTTTCCCCGAAAATCGTTTCTTTATTGAGATAAAACTGTCCGAGTGGATCCGGAAATGTGACAGGTTTGTCTGAGAAGGGGAACTGCAACTAACCCTCTCATTTTTCCCCACGCCGATGTTCTCGCAAATAAAAACATCTCCAGATTCAATTTGACGCTTAAAATAATTGTTTACAGTCGTGTAATTCTTTTTATACCGTTTATCCAAGCCAAAGAATCTTGCCAATTGCGTCGCGAAGTTCTAAGAAATCTTACTCCCGAGTAAGAGTGATGACAGAATTGACTCATCCCTGAACTGCACAATATGAGCTGACCTTAGTTTTAATAATATCAGCACAGAATAGATTGTAAAATTGTGTGGCATGCCTTTCTTAGTGTGGTGTGGCATGCCTCTCGAATCTCTTATCGTACCTTTGTGATTCTGCTCAAGAAAGTTACATTTTGAAGAGTGAAATAATTATTTAAAAATTTCCCGCCTTATGTTTAACTATTTCAAGTATCTTTATAAAAATATATAAGATTTAACCGGAATTCAGATAATGTGACCGCATATATTCCACCAACATTTAAAGACCCGACTCTCTGGTACTTAATGCAGAACTTGAATGAGCTTTAGAGACCCTCAAACTCAAACTCAAAATATTTTTTCAACATAAAATTGATTAATTACAATATACCGGTTAACATAATTATACTAAATATAAAATATCCAAGTTAATATGGCTAAATAACAATGAATGGTCAACCGCAATATTTTATAGAACAGCAATGAGAATTAAACAATTTTAGGCTGATGGACACATGGAAGAACTTTGGGCAAGCTATCGAGCCATGTATCCAAATTGACGCGTTTATAATGACGATTTTAAGTTTGAATAATAATAGTGAGATATAACAAGAATAAAATAAAGTAGAACGAAATAAAAATAAGACTATGTGTAATATTGTAATAACAGCTAAGTGCAATTATAAAATAATCATAAAGTAATCAAGCCTACAGATGTCAAATTTTGTTCATAAGAAAATATTTCATCTGTTTCACAAAGTGGTGTTTATTATCCATCTTTTTTAACTCTATAGGTAGGGAGTTCCAAAATTTAATACCATCGAAAGTGAGAAAGTTTTTTTTAAAGTTTGTAGAGATGGATGGAAGAGAAAAACCTTCAGAAGAAGATTGCCGTGTATTATAATTGTGTACATTTATTGTGTGTATAATTGTGTACAACTCGCCTTCAAGAGAAGTTTTGTCAGAGCTAATTTGATATATCATTTTTGCTGTCTCAAGCAGGTAAAGTTTATCAAAGTTAAATATTTTCAGGCGCTTAAAAGAAGGTTCACTATGTGCAGAGAAGTTCGCAAAGTCAATCACACTAACTGCTTTTCGTAAGTTACGTTTTAAAGGTTCCAGGGTAGTTTTATTAGCACAACACCAATTTAATATACCATATAGTACATGTGATTGAATGAATTAGGAGTATAAAGTCTTAAGAGATTGTTTTGGTACCAGATGTCTTAATTTTTATAGCACTCCGATTCCAAATTTATATAGATGTCTTAATTCATATAGCACCCGTGAAGCAATAGTCTGCTAGTAACTAAATGGGAAAACGTAATAAATTTGAGAGTTGTTCAGACAAAATCAGAAAAAATGTTCAGACAACTCCATAACCAAAGTGACACGGATAGGCCATAAATGCAGACATGCGAGGCTCAAAAAACGTTCTATTTAACGGTCAATAAATTGGAATGAGGTCATCGTACAGGCAAACTCACCAGTGATTACAAGTTCGCTTTAACTTTTCTTTCGTTTTCTGTGCAAATTTGTGGCTTGCTCGTGAAATTCTTCATCCTTACAAGTTTATCATCTCAGAAGTCTATCATAACTTAAACAATTAGCAAATATGCTGTAAAAACCAAATTTACGAAATGATCTAAGTAAAAAGGTTTTAAGATCAAGTGAAGAAAAGCGAGGTTAGCTGTAAAGTTGCTTTAAAAATCTTACAAATTTCATCTAGAAGGCCAACTTAAAAGACCTCAGTGAAATAGGCCGAAAAGAGTTCTTCATTTTCATGAATTTCAGTCAATGATCGTAGAATAACAACACGCATTAAAACCTTGTCCTCCAAGTCAATGTCTTGTTCTTCAATGAATTTGTTACGGTAGCAAATGTTTGGTAAATATTTGCGTATAAAGAGAGGGAATGATATAGGGATATCGACTTCTTGATAAACCACATTTGCGGGCATGGATGATGTCTGGTTGTTTACATATTGTCCAATGGCCAGTGGGTTTTTTGGGGTTTCTGTCAGCCATGATGTATCACATGACTCATATGTACCAATCATGTCTCTTTTTGAGCAAGATCTAAGAAAAAAGAGAGAAAAATTATCGTCGAAAGATTTGAAATTCTTCTGCCATTGGCATGTGGAATAAGGTATTACCTGTATATGTACTTGCTGATACCATTGCTTTTTCCGTCTACCAAGATGCCATCAATGCAACGCAATATGTATTGATTACTTATCGACTGAATCAAAATCGGATCTGATGGATTGTAGATTGTGCCTGAAACAACATGAAGTAAATAAAAATCTTTGTCTGTAATGGAATTATGTTGTATACAAATATACCAGAGGTGCATTACTTAGTTCTCACAAGATTCTATACAGAAATTCTTAACCTTAGCGTCCTTGTTGTTCACTTGACTGTCTTCATCACTCTCCAAAAACGTTTCCTTGGAAAAAAGCTTTGCCGTCCACTTCTTCTGTAAAGATCCCAGCAAACAACACCTTTGGAGATGAGGGAGGTAAAAAGCGGATATTCCACCAAGGGAAGACACTGAATCAAATTTTGCAATTAAAAACCTCAGCAGCAATTCTTTGCCAAAATCTTTATGAATTATTGTTACTTTGTGACTTTGTATTAAATAACATGACTTTACCTGGGTACATTGCAGCTATGGCATTTTTGGCAATTGAGCCTTTGGCTACAAACACCCCACATCCAGCATCTGCTATTGAACTCTTTCTCTTTTCAATGCAAAATCCACATGATTCAAAAAAAGCAATATCTCTTGGTATGTTTGCTGCCTCGGATTGGTGAAATTCCAGGAAAAGATGTTCTAGCTTCTCAGAGAGACTTCCATCTTGTCCACTCTCACATTCTTCTGATCTGGAGACTCTCCGAACTGATTTTCTAAAAAAGCAATTTTATCTTGACTAAATCATTATGGATATTTTTGTTTTTATAATTAAGATATTGAGCTGGTGGCATTCACATGACCAGCATATATTACTAGCAACATGCTATTTTTAAAATAACAAGAGATTTGGAGATGAAACACAAAATTATAGCACATTCAAGTACTTCTTGTTCTGAGTTGACACACGGTACAAAACCAAACCACACTGAAAAATTGCTTATGTGAATTAATAACAGATTGCTGAACAATCAGATAAGATTAAATGAGATTGTTGTCAAGGTTTATTTAGAATGGGTTTTCTTTGAAATTTCTAATTTCTAATAAGTGCAGTGACATTTTAAAAAATATCTCTTGTGTGCACATGCCCTACTCAGCAGTCTGGTCACTGCCCAGCTGCTCTCTACATGGCATTGTTTTTAAAGCATGTTTCTCCTATCACTCAAATAGCTCAGCCATAATTTCATAGTCAAAGTGTCTTTCTTTCAGACAGGCACACCAGGGGGGCTTGGGGGGGCTAAGGCCCCTCACTTTTTGGCTGAATTATGAAATTCAGATAGTGGCATTAAATTTGTCTAGAGCAACCCACCCCCATCCCCCCACTCCAAAATATGCTATGGAGTCCTTTACAGAGCTAGGTTTGGTAGCATTTTGCACGTTTAGCAGAGGTGGTGCCAGAAATCTTCTGACTGAGGGGCTGGAGCTTCCGACAGGGGGCTAAAATGACTAAAATAAGCAGTTTTCATACGTTATTTTGTCAGATTTGCTCCGACAATAACTTAGAATTTCCTCTGATGGGGGGGCTATATGCTTCTGATGGGGGGGGGCTGTAGCCCTCCCCTGGTGCCACCACTGATGTTTAGATGTTTGGTCTTTTAGAAGAATCACAAGATGCCTATCTGGATTTCATGGCAGCTTTCAACGAGATCTGGGGAGAGCAAAAGCTATTACCTGGGAATGGAAGAGTGTACTTGTGATAAGTGTGCACATTTGAGTGTGCCCCAAATTTCCTTGTGAGCTTTGAGTTTGCCCATGTTTTTTCCTTTCGCATTGGAAAGGTCTTGATCAATTTTAGTTGAATCTCAGCTTACCAGCTACCATTAGTGGCTGTTATTTAAATTTTTATAACTTTTGCAAGCAAAGGAATAATTTTAGAAAGAATTTTAAAAAAAGGCCATTAACATGATAATCCTTGTTGATGATATCAAGCTGGTTCACTAAAATGAGGGGGACAGGGGGCACATTGACAGGGACCTTAGGTCTAGGGGGCCTCAGAAGGGACTAAAAATTGTATTTTATTTAAACTCAAGAAAACAACTGGAAGAATTTTTCTGAATATATAAGCTAAATATAAGAACGTAATTCTAAATTATTTTGGCTCACTTTGCTCCCAAGGCCACCACATCCTTTAGTTTTGCCCTAGGGCTCAGACACCTCTTGGCAGCCCTAATCTCAACAATATCACTTGATTTAGAGTGACATCTTTTTTGCAAACAAGCTTGAGACACTTTGCAGCCTTAAAGAATTGTAAATTTGAGCCACACCCAGAGTCACGCCCAAGTCATGCTCATCACTCGGGTGTGCAAAAGTGCACTCGTGATCTTACAAAATTTTCTTCTGAGTGTAGCTGTCATGGAATCGATACTGGACAAAACTGGACAAGATATTACAACCAAGAATCTAAGAAACACCTTATTCAGCCTTAGGTATAGGTATGCACCACAGCTGTTACGCCTATTGTTCTCGGGGAAATGAGGACAGCGAATATTTTGCCTTTTAACAGACCGCAACACGCAACTTTCGAAAATTGAGTGATTTTCAAAATTCAGTAATAAATCGTACACTTACTCCATAAAGTTGCGAATAATTTTAAAAGATGGATCTACTTTTGCTTCCTTTATAACATAAATTCGTTGTTTGCATGATTGTTTCTGGTTTCCGGGAAAAAAATCGAAAGGACGACCATTTTTGTGATTTTCCGATGCGATGGCGATTTTAGGCCAAAGTGTTCCTCATACTTTTCTTTGGCGCTTCCAAACGATAGACGATAAATACTTCATTTTTGTTGCATGAATTGGCCAGTGAACGAGGCTAAAAAACTATGGGGGTGCACAGGTCGGCATACGGTGCGAACCAGTCAAAAGTCAGCTTTTCTTGCGTTTGCGTGAAATTTGAATCTCAACGGCTTTTCTGTCCGCTTGTGCACCCCAAAAATTTCATTCTCCTACGAATAAAGCATCAATTTGGTACGTTTTTCTAGCAAAATAAGCCTGTCTGTGGAAGCGCGAGCCGATTTTCGACGACCCGGTCGGCCTAAAACTTCATGTTTTCGTAGTGATTCTCCAAAACTGCGAGGCTCCTTCGCAGCGTACTTCTCTTCGGCTACTCCGTTAGGTGCGATGAAAATATAAACTTAAAGGTAAAACAATTGAATAAAACTCTTTAAATGCTATATTCATACATTCCCTACCTTTTCAGAGTGTTTAATACAAAAATATTTCCAATTATCCTTGTTTGGTTGGCTTTGGCAGTGGAATTGATAGACAAATTCTGTTAAACAATTTCGCGGGAAGCCGATTTAGGGAAACGAAAATTTTTTGCTGAAAACTGACAAACTCAATTACGATTCTATTCCGAGGTTCTAGTACAGAATTTAATGCCGAGTCCAAAACAAAAAACAGCTTTTCCATAGCTTTTTTAGATTTTGAGATATTATCGATTTTCTCCGATGCGGTCAGAGAATGGGCCTATGCTGTCCTGACTTCCGCGGCGTAACAGCTGTGGCACAGCAAAGCCAAAAATTATTGCAACCAATTTTAAAATTTTTTACAGAAAGGAAACCGCCCTTACCTATTTTTCTTCCAATTGAGTGCTAACCACGGTAGAAATCTGTACTTGTATTGCTTCCAGTGTCGAGAGACGGCATTGCCTTTGCTCATTGCCTTGAACAAATCTTACGAATTTAGGCCAGTCAGTCTCGTATTCAATTTGAACCCCCGAATTTCCGCTAGCGTTCCAAGAAATCTGTCATGAGGATTCTATTCAAGGCTTCTTCCTTTTCAGCCCAGATCGAATCATAGTCGGTAGAGTTCTGAAGTTTGAGCTGTGATGTCATAGGAAAAACCTTTCAAGAAAAATTTACTTTCAACCCCATAAATTGGAATCTCTTGTCGAGATTTCAGGCAATTTTAAAACAACAGCAACATCGAAAATTACCCTTGTTTACAGCTACCAAAACCCATTGTTGGAAAGTCTCTGTTGGAAGATCACTTGGCATGAAAAATTGAATACATGGTTCGAATGCCGAAATTTATGACATCATGATTAAGAAAATCTTCAGCATCGAAGGAAAAAGCATATTCTGAGTGAAAGGCTCAAGGCACATCAAGAAAAACAAACAATTTTTAACGTCTCCGTTTGGAGTTTGGCCACAGAATTGCATAAAAATTAAAAGTGGCCTCAATATTAATTAATGGTAATAATAATAAAAATTATAACCTTTTTACTGTAAGTTTAAAAATAGTGTGAACACTAATATACACTAATATGAAACAATTTTAGGGATTGCATTATGGAAGCCATTGACTGCAATGGTTACAGACGCATTGATTTTCGAAATACAAATCATTTATAAGAATTTTGAATTGAATTGCATTTTTGGATGGTTTTATTTCTTTTGTAAGAGAATTCCACATCTTTGGATCCTAAAAGCTAATAGATTTTATACCATAACTTGTAGTTTAAACCTTGGGAACAGATAGAGTATCCATTTTTCGAAGATCACAGCTTTTGGGTTTTGGGAGAAAGTAGTCTTTCATAAAGGCTGGATTCAAGTTGTGCAAAGTTTTGTAAACTTCTAGTGCTAGCAGCCGAATGGAGTGAATATGAATTGTAGTAGATTTAGCCTTGACTAGAAGTTTAAAATACGATGAAGTGTAGTCTGAGAGGGCTAATCGTAGGGCCCTCTCGTTTACTTTCTCGAACTTCTCTTGTCTTGCATTGATGCAGAATAACCAGATGAGGGGGCAGTAATTGGAGTGACAAAGAATAAATGAATTTACAATTACCATTGGATCTTTCCTACCCATGAACCGAGCTAGACTTTTGATTGCGTTTAGCTCTATGACAGCTTTTTCAAAAATATCAAAAATTCTCTTTGGGCCTAAATGTTGAAAGCAATTAATTGATAAATAATACGCATCCCAAGCCTCTGCTTGCGAAATTCTGCTTAGGAGAAAGATCGGTTGATTAACAAAACGGGTAAACAAAAACAAAAATCTAGTCGACGCTCAACTTCCCAGTTAATTTATAATTTAGACTACATTAACAAATAAAAAAGAAACGCAAAAACCCTTAAAACAAGAAAACCAATGACAGAAATACAACAGGCTGTATAATTTAATGGGCTTTTTCTGTAAAATATCACACCAAGTTTTCATGCATATGTATAGCCATTTACAAGAAATCCAGTAACTAGAAATCAAATAATGAAACGGCTACGAAATAGGCTCGTAATAGGCTGCGTCAACTCGTTGTTCTTGTATCTTCTTTGAGGTAATTTTGATATTCTTGAAGATTGTAAAGTTGCTTTTTGCATTCCCTTGGGGGGAGGTTGATAGGTCCTTAGGGGGAGGTGGATGGGTCTTTATAGGTAGGTGGATGGGTTTTTAGGGGGAGGTGGATGGGTCCTTAGGGGGAGATGGATGGGTCCTTAGGGGGAGGTGGATGGGTGCTTTGTCGTTAATAGCATCAATCTACGGAACGCAAAATTTAATGGAACACAGTTTGCTTTACGAAATCACTAAGAAAACGAACCTATTTTGAGTTCTAACTGTGTTCCAACTACATGACAACGACCAACGTTTTGAATAATATTGTATAAAGATCTGTTTCCTGAAATCCTCTTCATTGAACCAACTCTTGTCTTCGGCGTCCATAAAATACTCTGCCAAACTCTAGTTTCTTCAAGCAAAATGAATTCCATTTGAGTTGAAAACTTTTAATAATCTAAAATAGATAAAAAACGATGAAATTAAGAAGAAAATTGAAATGCTGATGGTCAGTAAATACCTTAAGTCAGAATCGTTGCCACTGACTGTGACAGGGCGGGTGGGGTGAAAGGTAAGAATGATGGGTGTGGCTTAAGATGTGGCTTTAGAACTACATCACCGCTTAAACAGACAATTGATCGAGTTGCGAACAAGCCCTTGTTCCAAGGGGTTGCGAAGCCCCATTACTCTACATCGTGAAGGCCCTACCTAAATTTCCAAATCACATCACTTTACAATAAGCATTTAATGGCTGCTTCGACAACGGATCGATTGTTGACGTAAATCTCTATCTACGTAATGCGAAGGCAGAAACAAAATATGAAATCAAAATGAAGAAAACATACTCTAGGAAATCGTCGATGTCCATAGTTCTAGCCCTCTTTTTGTCAAATCCGTTTTCTTCAAGAATCGAACGAATTTTCTCTTTAATATCAAACTCCTTGTCGATCATCTGTCAAATTAATCAAGAAAAGCGAATAGCTTCAAAATTCTAAACGTTTTCATGCATCCTCCGAGAGGTAAATAAAAGTACAATTTCAATAATGTTCAGAAGATTAGATAATAAAGTACTATCAGGGAGCTTGAAAAAAATATCCAAGGTTTTACTGAAATAGTGAGGTATTACTCTGAGGTCATAAATAAAAACGAGATATTTAAAGGCCCCCCACATCTTATTCCAACCCCTTTGCAATCGCTATATAAAAAATCGCTTCAGAGATGGTCAACAAACCCCCCTCCTGTTCTTATTAGAATCCATGTGCTTATTAAAATTTCAGACTTGGTCATGCCCCGAAGTTGATTAAAACTTGAAGGCACAACGCTGAAGAGACGGGGGTTCAGGTAATAATTACCTCGACGCTGTATTCTCAGATTTGATATTCTTGATGGCAGTGCCTAGCGATAGAAAACCAACCCAGAAAGCAATGCAACATTTACAACAATTGAATCAGTCTTACTTTAATCATTTAACAAATATTGAAGAAATGTCAAGAAAGGTAGAGCAACAAAATTCTGTATCAACTTACGATTTCGTTAACTGAACAGTGGATTCTGTAGTTTTTCTCCAACATTTCTAGGACAGCTTTTGACCTGAATCGAAAGTAACCGAATAAGACCAGACAAAAAGACGATGATATGAATAAAAATGCTTGTAGGGCATTTATATCCAATAAAACAGAAATCAATGGAAACAACACAGTATTAATGTTGACATGACTATGGCTTGAGAGAAAATATTGTGAAATTGTTAATAATTGGATGCAGTAACTTACGTAAAGCCAGCCAAGAGGGTTTTGTTTTTGCGTACAAATGCGACCCTTACGAGCCCATCCCATTCCTAAGGGAAAATGAAGGATAACAAACCAATGGACATTGTGAAGACAAAAAAACTTAAAAATAATGTACAACACGTATACAGGTATATACGAAAAAAATTATCATATCGTTCATTGTACGCAAAGGAAATACAGGTAGGGAAAATTTCCACCTGAATCTCCAGTTTAGGCCTTGAAAAGCATAATCATTCCACTAAACGCGATGAGTCAATATTTACATGCATATTTAATCTAACAAATTATTGAGAATTGATAAAATTCAATTTTTGCCAGACTTAAATCGATTCGTATCGTAACTGACCTTACCAAGTTCCGGGATTGATATAACCGAAATGTATTCAAAACAATGCATAATTTATGCAAATAATTTATGCAAATTAATTATATATACAAAATAACATGATATTATCAGTTTCTTTAACAAATTTAAAGGAATCCAACAAACCTTGAAATTAACGGGGGGTGGGGGGTTCCTTGGCTCGATTCGGACAACGCTGGATTCAACTTTCGGCGGAGGTCTGAAATTATTTTTACCAACCTAATGACAGATGGTAAGAAATTAGTTCTAAAATGCTTTGAAATATATCATTTCAAAACATTTTTGAAAAATGTATTTATTATCTAGTTCTTGTATCTTCTTAAAATTTTTTCTGAGACCTTGCAGTAAAACATTGAAAAGGGAATTTAAATACAAAAAATGTTTTGGTTTTAACGTTCCAGAAAAGTTTTTACATTCTGGCATATTAAGCGTGAACTCGAATTCAAGTGGCATAATTTGATAAGTTGGTTCGTTGACATTAAACATTTTAAAAACCTCTGATAATCTCAGCCTGATAATCCCGATCCGAGAGTATTTCAAACAAATCTGAATAAATTTTTCATCTGAATAAAGTGCGAGCAACGTCAAATAGGCTTTGCGAGCAAAATGGCAATCTGCGATGAGATGAAGTAAAATGGGTCTTGAGTTACCTACTTTCATTAAATGATCAACTCTTGCAAGCAACTGTGTGTTAATCGATAATCTGCAGAAAAGTTTATCCCCTGGTTTCGCGATTAGTCTTTGGGCAAATTCTCTTTGAAACATGAGCACAGCACATCTACAGTTAAAATAACATACTTCAGGCGAATAACAATTGGTATAACAAATATAAAGGTACAAAGCATACTTTAGTCAATCAAAATATGAATTGATGAAGCCAAGGCTAAATTGAGATATATAGATAGATAATTATTGATGCTTCCTATATCGAACATGATTCATAGTCAACGAAAATGTACCTGAAGAACGGGCGATGAAGTAGAAGTTTGAACACGAATGGCGAGGAAATCTGCAAATAATAAAACATAATTCATACGTTTATCTGAAATTGACAATTATAAGATAGGATGCTGGAAATTTCTAAGAGACCAAATGAAGAAAATTTCATTCTTCTTCTTCCACCTTATCTCCTTGAGGAATACTAACCACTAGCTCAAAACATTAAACATTAATCACTAAACACTAATCACTAAACACTAATCACTTATCAAATAGTGTTCAGTGTTGCAGAGACAGATCTAAAGTGCATAAAACAAGACAATTATAGGTTGCAAATCTATGTCTGACGCTTAACGCAATCATCAAGGAACAATTCATGTAATAGGCAATAATGAAACCGCCCTGTTCTTTACGTAAAAGAGTCTTAATAGGAATAGTTTTATGTAATAAATGATTCAATCAAAGAGGAAGAAAACAACTAAGGATGGGCAACTGACTCGTTCGTGGGCATCACGTGACTTTAACTCGGGTGTTAACATGTATGTATGTTACCTGGTATGGCAAATTCGCTACACAGCAATCAAAATACGGTAGTTCCGTTTTCAACACATCGCCCACGATCACTTGCAGCTTTGAAGCTTGTTGGCTATCAGAAACAAAACATATCAACGTTTAGATCAACGTTACTCTGATTTAACATAGTCGCTTATTTTGTCTGTAATATACACTAGGTGGAGAGATGTATTTTTCAAAATAAAGAAAAATCAAAATAGAAAAATTTGTTCATTTTCAAAGTAGCACGACGAAGTGAAATCATAGCATACTAGTTTACTCTTTGCCTGACACTTCTCTGAGTTGAAAAACGTGGGGGTAATCACTATAGTAAAATAAGAAAAGTTCAATTGAACATTCCCTATCAATTATCCGATTGACATCAAACAAGAACAAGTAATTGCATAAACAACAAGAAAGCATGATTGCTTCGTCTTTCAGGGGAGAATGACTCATCTTTAATGCAAAGATACTTTCTTTCTCTGAAACGCATTCTTGGAATACTATTATTAACAGCTAGAGGTAGAACGCTAATACAAAATCGTCCCAAGCAACTTACGTTCCTTGAACCCTTTTCTGCAATTCAGCTGCCATTCTTGGATCTAACTCACACGCAATCACCTGGAAGGAATCCAAACAATACACAGGTGTCAAGAGACATTCTACAATTATGAATGATTTAACCACTGAAGCCGTGACGGTACCTAGTAGGGAGTTGGGGGAGGTCATTGCCCCCATATACTTCTAAAAATCGATAAAACAAAAACTAGTTTTATTATATATTAAGGGGTATGCTAGGTTTAATCTGAAAAGATTTACGGTTATGGAATAGCACGATATGAAAAGTGGAGCATCGAAATAACCTGACCATTTAAACCATTTTTATAAATATGTAAAGACTATTTTCTACCTTTTTAGCTTTATCCAGAATTTTCACAGTCATGTTTCCAGTTCCAGGGCCAATCTCAAGAACTGTATCAGTGCTTTTAATTGCAGCCTAGAAAAAGAGGATGCTATTTTAAGCCAATAGAAATTCAGCAACAGTTTCACTTCACAATGAGATAAAAATACAGCCTTTGCGATCTTTTGTGATGCTTTCAATCTCAGCAAACATTGAGAGATCAAACATTTGTTTTTCAGCTTATAACAGAAAAACAGAGTTTTTACTTTGTCAAAATCCAAGAAATTGGAAATAAGCAATGAAAATCTGCTTAAAAAATTTGAACAAGAAACTTATATCAGTTTTAAAATAACAAATGTTGGATAAAGCTGCCATTTAGGAGAAGATATCTTACTGAAAAAGATTCGTTTCATGCCATATCCTATAAAAGTACCAGTTCCAAGCTTTCTAATAAAAAGGCTGTGTCACGAGTAGTGTATGCAGGAGGGGTATAGTAGACCCAATCATTTTTCTAAACATTGCTCTCGAAATTTCTAACCAATTCAAGCAAATTGGCAACTTTGTGTGGGTAGAAGCAGGCAGGTCCATTACATTTTAAGTTTACTGATCATTACAGGTTGGTTTACCTTTTCAATGCAAAAAGATTTAGGTATTGTACTTTCCCCCTTAAGGGTTTCAAATGTTTTTATTCATTATTATTTTCTAAAGGCTTCCAAGGGGAGTCAAGGGGCATCAAAGGTGTTGCACCACCTGCGATGTTCTATGCTGTTCCCAGTGATTATCATGAATAAAAATTCTTCATAGAGAAAAATCTGCTTAAAGTTTTTTTAGTTCTCTTTCACTGTTATGAAATCCACAATATCTGGCTTATACACCTTTCCATTACTTAAATTGTGTAATGTACCAGGCAGTAAGAAATATTTTGAGGACCAAATTGGAACTAGTAGCAGGAGACCTACCAGGAAATTTCCTGATTATTCAAAAAGCCATGAATGTTTTCATAAAGAAACAAAAATCTTTTAGTCTATGATTTAAATCAAGGTAATTCATTTCTTCGCCAAAATATGTCATTTTCAATTTGCACTTGTTTGGCAGATGTTTTCCCATCATCTTAATTTCTTCCATCGTAATATGTCTTTATGACTTTTGTGTGGAATTAATACAGTTGACTCTACTTAAAGTCACAGTACAGTTTACAGTCACATAAAATTTAGACCAGAATATACAAAACTGTTCAATTCAAGATGAGTTTACAGTCACACGCCGCTTGATGTCTCAGAATTTCAAGAAACATTGATATGACTATAACTGTATCTATTTTTGTTGTAGTTAAATTTTGCCCAGCCAAGTTTGTTTTTTAAAGGTGGAGATGAAGTGAAATTCATTGTTGTTGTTTGTTCTGTGAGCTGACATTGGCATGCTGTTTGAAAAGCATTTCGAGAAAACAGACTGTGAGAATGCAACACAAAACAATCATCATCATCATCATCATCATCATCATCATCATCGGTTTAACATCATCAGTATTTGCCAAATTTGGAGATACTTCATTGAAGTTTTATATTTTAGTTTATTCAGAAGAGTGAATTCTATCAAGTCCCATTATGCTATTTTCAGATGTCTCTCATACTCATGCAACCATCTGATGTTTTTTTCCCGAAAAGAGTGCCCTTAAGCATCTTAAAAATTCATATGTAAAAATTGCTGGCATTTGGTTAATGTTCCATAGATCCCCATAAAAGAACAAAGGTACTAAGATAGGTCTTTTGGACCATGGGAACTGTTCCTTTGTTCCTTTGTGTTAGGAACGTCTCATCAATTTTAGGATATGCTGCTAAAGTGCCGTTATGGGAATTACGGACCTTTGGTCGCTCGCTTTTCCTATACATTCTAACATAAATTTGAATATACGTTCTCAAGTTCCTTCGTTCTGCGTGCGCTAAGTACTTTTGGGCCGATTTTCTTTTGCTCATTTGAGTTTAGTCACGTTTCTCCGTAAAACAGCAAAACGAAATTCACATGTCTCTTGAGAAGTTTCAACCTATATATAGCGCTGCAAGTTTTCAGCTTGGCCACAAAACTAGAAGATGTCTTCGATGGTAGTACGTTGGAAAGACGTCCCAGGAGCTGCAAAGTTGAAGAAAAGGCTGATGTTAATAGCTAATGTGCACGGAATATTTCAGTGCCCTATTGGTGATTGCGAGCATGAAGGCTTCCGCAGTCAAAGAGGTTGCAGAAAGCACGTTACAAATTCGCATCCTTGGTTCTTCTATTTTGACGAATACCCGAAAGATATTATGGATAATAAAGTTGCGCCACAAAACACATGTGACGAGAAGACCAACGAGTCAAAGGATG